CAAGGGCACAAATGTTCAAACTAGGCCTCGATTTGCATGTGATATGTAACTTTGGGCATGAAACATCTTTTGAAATTGGGGGAATTTTTCAGGGGATGGAGTAAAGAGCATCGAAAGGGTAATGAGAGTATAATCTACAGGAAATCATCTCTGACCACTCACAGCATCAACTGCAGTTCAACAAGCAGGTAAACTAAAAACGTGCGCTCATCAGTAATACTTGGTGCATGGAGGAGATCCACCTGTTTTCTAAACTAACTGATGCGCCCAAAGATTAAGGCTACAGAGCGATCCATTAAAAATGAAGAAAGCAGCGTGCCGAGTACCCAGCCCCTTTAGCTCACCTTTCCAGCTCCCACCTCTTATTATCATATTCATAAACATTGTCCCTAATCAGTCTACCAGAGTAAAGTTAACAAGTATATGTGTGCACTGTCTTGAAATTGTTTTGCTAGCCTAAGAAGCTGTCAGGGTGTTGAGAAGGCTGCCGCTTTAACCAGATTTCATCTCTGTGTGTCACTGCTCATGTCAGAGTAAAAATGCACTCAGACATTAAGAGTTGTCCTGCTTTCATCAAGAGCGCCAGTCTGCCTGAGCGTCGTTCCACTTGGTTAAGCTTGTTATTTAAATTGTTAAAATTGAGACATCGGCAGTAAATTTCAGAGAAGATATAACAATTATTAGATACAAGCTGGGCTCTTGTACTTGAGAATATACCATGCCCTCCATCCACCAGCAGAATTAGCCACAAAGAGTTTACATCGGTTGCTTTAAGAAGTGTGCCCTAGAGTACTTGGATGGCATTAACTCACAGCCCATCCCCACCTAGATCATATTTCCAACTTTAAGATAGATTTGGTACCAGTCAACAGAGTGGTGGAGCATTCCAGGGGACCCCCTTTTAATGCCTGTAACTCTTGAAGAGCTGAGTGAGGATTCCCAAAGCTGCCTTCTGGCTATGAGTTTTGTGTTTAGGTGACTTTATATACCGGGCAGGGGAGCCACAATCCAGAACGATGGCCCTTTGAGCGTGAGGAGAAGGAAAAGCTGGGAGGCTCTCGGAGTGACATTGTGCTATTATTCAGTCATCCCACTGAAATCCTAGAGGAGCACTTGACCTTGTGGTGACTGTGCCCCGTGCCACAATCTGATTTTGCCAAGACAAAGGCTAAGGGGAAGAGCTAAGTGTGAATGAAGCTTGGAATCTTCAGACGGATCATCAGAGTTCCTCTGATCCATCTTACCCAACCTCTCTTTCAGTGAAGGAACCCCAATAAGTACATGCTTATTTAATAGTTGATTCATTAGACTTTGGGTCAACACAAATCCCAAGGTTGGCTGTTGTTGTTGTTTAACGCAAATGACTCTCAAGCCAGATCTCCCCTAATCTGCACTTGTGAAAAAGATTGCTTGGACCCAACTGTTGGACTTGACATTTAGTTATGCTAAATTTCATCATATTGATTTTGGTCCTTTATTTCTATTAATGAAATATTTAAAAATTCTGATTCTGACATTTAATGCATCAGATTTGTATAATTTTTAAATTTCTACATTTTTGTCCAAAGCATAGAGAAATAAGAGAAGTTTTAGAGCTGAAAGAAGGCTTGGACATCATCAATCCAATGCTCTCACTTTAAAAACCAATAAACCAAGAACTAAAGGAGTTAAATAACGGTCTCAAAGTCAGACATCTAGAGAGTGGCCTTAAACCATGGGTACTCTTTGAGTATATGTTGTCTTGTTATTTGAAAAATTTACCTCACTGTAAATGAGGTAAATTCCTCACTTTATCCATAAGGCCACTCTAGGAAGCTTTGTAAACATACTTTTTAGAATCAGAAGCTGGTCTAGGTATTTCTCTCCACATCATTCCACTACCCTTAGGCATCACCTCAGATCCTTTTGCCTGAACTATCTCCCAGCCCTTGGCCACTTGTTTTGCCTGGGTTGCCACAGTGACTGTCTTTTATGGACGTAACCAGCAGTGCCTGCCTCATGCCTGTCCATGAGCTGCCCTGTGGACACTGCTGCATGATACTACTTGGAACAGCAATCAGCATCTTTGCAACGTGGAAATACAGGGGTGTGTTCATCAGGGTATTCAAGAGAAACAACCAGTGGGATATGGGTGTGAGTGTGTGTGTGTGTGAGATAAACAAATTGGCTCATCTGATCATGGAGGCTGGCGAGTCCAAAATCTCTGTGTGGGCTCAAGACCCAGGAGAGCTGACGGTGCAGTTCCAGTCTGAAGGCCAGCAGGCTGTTACTGATTTAAATGTTAGTCGCATTCAAAAACACTCTCCAACTTGGGAATTCCCTGGCGGTCCAGTGGTTAGGACTCAGGGCTCTCACTGCTGAGGGCCCAGGTTCAACCCCTGGTCTGGGAACTAAGATCACACAAGCCGTGTGACCAAAAAAAACGAAACAAAACTACTCTCCAAGTTGATACATTAAATTACTCTTCACATGCGGTTAATACCCTGGGAAACAGAACTTTGACTACTGAGGTGCAGGAGTCAATGGATAAATTATTCTTCCTGACCCAGCCCCAGCAGACTGCCTGGGATGCAGTCATTCACATGGCCTCTCTGAAGACTATCTGTTCCACTGAGCGGTTAGTTGTGCATGTACTTCAGTGGAGCCCAGCTTGATATCTCATCTCCTTCCCTGACTTACTCCCCTTTCCCTCACTTTTGCTTTCCTGGGATTGCACCTCCTAGCAAAGTCTCAGCACACAAGCTTTTGCCTCAGACTCCATTTTTCTAGGACCCTGGGCTACTATACCTTCTTATCAACTAGTAAACCCCTCTCTAAACTGATTAAAGCCACAAGTCTGTTGTACAAAACATGCCCTCTCCCTAACTTTGTATCTTGGGCAAATTTCAAGAACCTCTTACTCACTGCAAAGCTTCAGTTGATTCTTTTTGATCAGTTAAAGACCTGTTGTAGATTATATACAAGCTTCGATGTCAGGAATTATTATTACTTACCACTTGTGCTTAGAATCTGAACTGTAACTTCATCCGCTTGACTCACACAGCCTAAATCAATCCTCTCTGTCTAGACAAAGCAATTTAACTTCTTGGTAATTCACCAATTACAGAGCACTTATTTATTGGAGAATTCATAAGTTCAGGACATGGTGAAGGGTATGAAGAATAAAAGATATGACTTCTGCTCTCAAATTATTTACAGTCTACCAAGAATTTTTGCTTTTTGTTCCCTCCAAATTGAAAGTATACTCACCAGGTCAGACATGTGAAATATTTTTATAAATGTCTTTTGACCAAGATGTTTCCAAATTCAAATGATTCTGTCGGAGCTATTGAAAATCTTGGTGGTGATGAGCCAGCAGGTACAAAACAGGTTCAGAGACTGGAGAGGAAGAGATGCAGTAGCTGGTGCCAGTGAAAGATCACGGGCGGGTTGAAGTTAGCCTTTTCCTCTCGTTGCTTACTGACATTTTGAAGGGACTTGAAGGCGTTAGATCCGCAGATGCTACAAAACCAGCAAGCAGTCCACAGACAATGACGGCTCTGAAATATACAGAATAACTATTTTTTAGTGGTAGATTTATTATCCAAATTAAAACATGTTTAAGCCAGTGTTATGATTCAGTTGCATTCTCCAAAGCACATGTAGACTTATAAGATGGAGGAGAAATCTGATGGCTAAAATTAGGCTATGGAACTTTCCGGTATCTGCCTTGTATCTGGCTACCGGAGAGGAACAGATAATACAAGTTAATAACATAATTGATAGTTGGTGAAAAGTCTTTGTCTTCTTATTACCCCATTTCAGCTTTAGATACGTATCTTAGCCATTTTGTACTTTTTACCCTATTCCTACATCTGTCCAAAAAAAAAAAAAAAAGAAAATTAAAAGATGCAGATAGACTCTCTTGAAATAAAGGACTAGACAGAAAACCTTTATGAACAATGTATTTCCTGTATGATAGAGTGCTACTGTGAAAAATTACTATAAGATCTAATATCTTCAAAAACATGCCCTTGCTCTGTTACGCCTTTCGATAATTGGTCTTGACCTTTACTCAGGCAAAACTCCCACTGACTTTCAATTGATTGAGCTTATTTGAGTTGAATCAGATCAGCTACAAATGGCCCCCTCTCTATTCTGCATTCTGATTGTGTGAAGCGGTGTGTCATAATGTGGCAATGATATGTATTGGCAATCTTCTACCGTTGATTAATTGCTGGGAAAGTGATTTCTTTATAATTGTACTAGAACGCTTTTGGTGCCTGACATCATAGGGGCTTGGGCACACTGGCTCAGAAGGGCCCTGAGAAGCTGACTCAATATTCCCATCCCACCTGGAAATGATCCCAAGTCTTTGAAAATAAAAGTAGCAGTTACCATTTCTTGAGTGCTGACTTGTGCCAGGCACCGTGTAAAACATTTGCGTGCACTGCCTCATCGCCTGTCATCTTCACCAGAGCCCTGTGAAGTGGGTGCTCTAAGCAGGTGTTTCGGTCCCATGTGGAGGCGCTGGAGACCACTTCCAGCTCAGCGCCCTAGCACTTTGTGTTTCCTCTGTCCTCCATGAGGGGAGCAGCTTTGTCTGAATTAGTTATCACTCTAGCTCTAGCGTCCAGGACAGTGACCAGCACTTCACAGATGCTCAGCTACTATTGGCTGAATGATCACAAAGCCAGGTTAGTTGAGTAAGCCTGTGGCTTTGATACCCAGTGGGTGTGAAGGCTGGGCAGGGTCTCCCCTCAGAAGAGGGCAAAGGTGCTAAGGAGGGCGTGCGTGGGGCTTGGTCGGGGATAGAGACGCGCCTCCAGCATTGCTTACTTTTTCTGTGTTTGCCTCCTGCCTTGCTCTCTTATTTTTCCTCCACGCTTAGTCCAAACTCAACCCACACCTTGCAAGCATTTTCTTGCCTTAGAGCAGAAATACTTCCCCCTGGGCCGTGGGAGATGTTGAAACCAACTTCGGGTGTCTCATGACTGATGGGTACCAGTATTGCTTTGCAGGATAACCGCGAACACTGGACAGTCCAGGAAATCCAAGGAGACAGCTAACCAAAAGGACGTCAGCACCTTGAAGGCTGGACCGAGGCGGGGGTGTGCTTGACAGAGATGTCCACTGACCGCACAACTTGAAAGGTGACGCGGCTCATTATCAGGCAGTTTTCTTGGTGAGAAGTGACTAGACCCTAATGCTTCAGTGTGAGCACACTGGCTTGGGACAGTTGGTTGGTCCTAACTAAGTATGAAACCAGATATGAGACAAAATGCCAAGATGTGGGAGGGAAATTGAAAAGGCCCCTTGCAGCTGCAGGGTCTGCTCGCTCTGCATTCCTGCAGGTGCACAGCAGGGCTCCAGCGTCTAAGACCCCCACTCCCACCCCGTAAGCACATCACACTCGTCCTCCAGGTTCAAAACGCATCCTCACAGCCTTTCAAAGCACCTGACATCCTTTCAAGTTAGCTGCTACAAAGGCAAATGCAAACAGCGTGTTTGGGGGCATTCTGTCAGTCAGCCCTCAATCTGTATGTTCTTCCAGACACTCCCTTTCCTGCCTGATTTATTTCATATTAAAAGGGCTGTCAATCTGTATCACAGGAACAGGCTGAGAAAAAGTGAGTGATGTTTGCCGAGTGGGATTTTTGTTGTTGTTTGTTATTGTTAAAATTAATGGTCTCCTTCTCTCCGGCCACACTCCTGACTCACCCTCCATGACTCCCTTAGGACTGACTTGCCTTTCTCTGCAGGTATCTGCACATCAGAGGTATGAATTGCACGTACCAGATGCATTTACATTAGAAACGTATTTTGTGAGGCTGTGGCAGACCCTTTTTTATTATCCATCAAATATATCTCTTTTTACCATCTGATGGCTTGGCAACAGGACCGTTCTTCTTTCAAACAAAATAAATGTGCCTGCAACGTGGCAGAATATTCAGCATTGAAGAGGCTTTGCCCTGGTTAATGCACATTGCATTCTGTGGACATTACGACAGGACACTAAGTATGCAATAGGCAGTTCTGGGTGGGAGTGCTTTATGGGACCAGCTGCATTATTGTTGTATGTTATGATATTGATTATTGCCTTCTCCTGTCACTTAGGCCAGCTTTTCTTACTTTTATCTGCTATTTTGGCCTGTAAATAGAATTGCTCCATCATTCTGTACTATTAATTTCTCACCAATCCTGAAGGTGCCTGATTCTTAGAGAACCAATCAGAGCCATCTTCACCTGCCATGTGAAAAACTCCCAAATTACCAAGAAACCAGAAGTCAGATTGTTTTCCAGGCACAGGGTCTATTTTGAACATGTGTGAAAATGACTGCGGAGCTTGTTGAAAAACAAACTCCTAGGTCCCAACCCCAGAAATGCAGAAGGTGTGGGGCTGGGCCCGGGAACCTGCATTTTAAGTAATTGCTCAGGTGATGCGTGGAAAAAGCTGGGGGTGGGGGTGGGGTCAGGTGGGAATGATCAGGGGTTGTCAGGGAGCTGGCAGGAGGCCCTGGACTCTGTCCCAGACATTTGCTTGTGATGCAGCTGACCCAGGCTCCACCTCCTCCCTGCAGCCCTCCCCCAGGCTCCACCTCTTCCAGCTCTGCTCTCAAGTATTTCAGAGAAGCACATAACCACTTAGGAGAAAGGCCCAAATCTGAAATGATACTAAGGCTGCTCTCTCTTTTCCAAAAGAATTAGGCATATAATACAATTTTGTGATGAAGAGGTGGGAAGGAGAGGAGAGGAAGAAGAAAAATACTCTAGAATAGAAATATATGCTAAACTACTGCTCAGGAACAAAGCCCTGCAGAGGCCCTAGGAAAATGCTGCTTCAAGGAAGCAGCAGACCTCCTTCCTGGAGGATATGTCACTGGGAGACACCTGGGGCATCCAGGGAGGGTCAGGTGTGAGAAGATGCTGCTCGGCAAGGGATGCAGCACCACAAATCTGCTTTTGCTCTCAGCTAACACTTGCTGAAAGGCGGCCTCTGAAGAGGATGGGGCAGATCTGTGAGGACCCACTGGGACTTAGGAAGAAAACTCATGGAACACCTGCAGTAAAATAATTATATTAAAAACAAAAATAATAAAGACTCAAATTCATCAACTCCTAATTATTTTACTATTATCTGTGCTATTGAGGTTATTTACGTCTGTTGGATCTGTCTGGCAGAAATGCTATGCAGTGGTGGGCTACTCTGTGTCTTACCCCAGTTCTGCATTCAGTAATATCATCTTGGCAGCTTGAAACTGACCATGGTAGGTGTATTTACACCATGGAAATCAGCAAATACTGCAGATCAGCACTTGGTTTATTGTTTCATGGACTATCTAGACTTAAGAAAGGGTTGGAGAAAAAATTAATAATGCAGATTACACTTATAGGTGTGCTGTGTCTATAGCTGTTACATCGTGACTACCACAAAACTTTGAGGAACTATTCTTCCGGTATTCGAAAGCCATTATCTGATTGAGCAAAGAAGTCACTCGTGTCATTAACGAACGAATATAGTGCTGACATATGTCTTCGTTTTCCACTTCTGTCCTACTCATTAATGTAAATGAAAATATCAACCACTGTTTGTGCCAGAACTACACTTCATTCATCACTTGCAACCCAGGATGGTGACGGACACAAGAGTTCATGAAAAATTGGCAAAGCCTCTGAGTACGTGGAATTATAAGTTTTCCTCATTTTATTTTTATTTGTAAATTATGTGCTATGCATCCTTCAAATCAGTAAAATTTCCAATAAACCCATGCACACGTATATATACGCAGCCTCCCCTCACACCCCTTCCCCCTTTGCTGAGAGCTGGTTGTTAAAATTTACTAGCAAATCACTGCCTTAATCACATGAACACATATAAACTAGTGAATTCTTCCTTGGGAACCCCAAGGAAGGAGCAAATTTATTCAGAGGCAGTCTTATCTCATCTACTAGATAATGTGTTTCTTGAGTAAAGAGCCCATCTCTGATTCAGTCCTTTATCTGCTGTTTCGCCTAATGCAGAACCTGTATTCAGCAAGTGCTCGTAAATACTGAACTAATAGTATACAGTTATCCCTTGGTATCCACGGGGGATTTGTTCCAAGAGCCCCCCTCAGACACCAAAATCTGAAGATGCTCAAGTCCCTTATATAAAATGATGTAGGGCAGTGAGTACAGTTGGTCCTCTGTATCCGTGGGTACAGAAGACCACCTGCATCTCAACACAGGCATGCCAGCTAACGGTGAGTTGCATAAAATACCCACAGCAGGAGTAAAACACAGGAGGACCAGAAAATAGGACAAAGAAATGTAGACTCTGTGGTCCATGATAATTTGGGACTAGCAGTTAGGATAAACCTGCTCTTTTAAATATTTGCAAGAAGCTTTCGGATAATTTACACTTGGGATGGTAGCTGAGCTTGGCTCTCCATCCCTCAACCATCTTCTCTGCTTCCGGCACAATCATTGAAAGCCACCTTGTTTTGGGTGTTTTTGGTCCCGCTCTGCTGGGCCACAGGGAAGACTGCAGCTGGAATGAAGAAGGAGGGGGGAGAGGAGCCAGGGGAGGGTGAGGTTATGTTAGTTATGTTAGTGCACTCGATGTTCTTGCTAGGTGCCCGGGACTGCGCTGCATGTTCGGTATTTTAAAATAGTATTGTACATAAACCTCACGACTAGCCTTGTGAAGCCATATTGTCACACCATTTTACTTTTATTTTTTTTTAACATCTTTATTGGGGTATAATTGCTTTACAATGGTGTGTTAGTTTCTGCTTTATAACAAAGTGAATCAGTTATACATATACATATGTTCCCATATCTCTTCCCTACCATTTTACTTTTAAGAGAACTGAGGCTTAGCGAGGTGGAATAACCTAACCAGTGGGTAGCAGAACTGGGATGCCCACCCCGCAGGCCTGGTTCCGGAGGCTGTGACAGCCAGCCTGCCTCCTAACGGAATGTAGCCTCACAATAATACAGGACTTTCTTTTCTCATGCCTCCTGGTATCCTGGCCATGGGTAATGTTGGGGTTATATTTCGGTGTTTATGAATCTGCCCCAAGAGGACACATGGGCTTTTTTTGTTTTGGTAGTGTCATGAGTCACTGGCACACTGGGAACTTCTCTGGAGCGAGAGAGGTTGCTACAGGGCTCTGCTGCTCTGGAGATGACTTAACGGCTCCTGGGCTGGGAATTTTCTTGGATTCTTTCATGGAGGTCAAGGCCTGGGCCTTGGAGGAGGAGGGAGTCATGAGGAAGTCCGTCCGTTGCATGCCAAGCTTGTCCTTAAAGCGTACGCCTCAAGTGGCTTGTTCCACTGTTTAACAATCTTTACTTCCAAGAATTACTAATTTACATCTGCCCTGAATTTCTCACCAAATTTTAGTACATTTCCCATGTTGAGGGTGCCCTGTTATCAGAGAACTCACAAAGCAGTAGTCCTTGGGGATTTTGTGGATCCTGGGTTCTGAGAAGTTCTCACGTGTGTAAGCATAGAAATGTCGTGTTCTCAGAGGACTCTGCAAGACTTCTGGCACCAAAGTTTTCACTCAAGCCAGGCCAGAAAGGACTGGCATGTGAGTGGCTCGCCATGTGAATGAGTGGTCGCTTCTCACCACACCGGTCTAATTGCAGTGTATTTCCTAATTCTGCACCGATTCCTGTGATATTTGCTGCAATGGCATGCCTTACGATGAACTCATTTGGCATTAATGTGAATGTAATGTGCTGTTCTGTAGGAGTTTCGCTGTAATTGAGCATTCATTAATGTCCATTTATTGTAAAGCGTTACAGAAAACACTTTATCGCCCACAAATTGCCAAACTGATTTCCCCCTGTGTGTGTATATATGTTATGTGTGCCGTTTAATGAGGTCCTTGTGAACTCGGGAACCCTAGTAAATATAAGCTTCATATAAAGTCCCAGATCATAAATCAAGCAACTATTGCAAATGACCTTACTGTCTAAAGGTCAAATGCGCTGGGTCCCATCAAAGGACTTTGATCTTTTGTAGGGTCCAAAGACATCCCAACACTGTATCGCAATGGCCTCATTTCAAGGGTCCCCTCAGCATGTGCATTTGCTGCGCTCTACTGGGAGCTCCCAAATTCCCTCGGTTGGCCATTTGTTACTTTTCTGTCCCGACAGCTCCTCACAGGGGCAGCCACAGTCACCTCTACTGTTCACGGGAATTTTCTTCTGTGACATTTCTGAGTACTAGGTGAACCAGGGCAGTTTGAACCCATCCCACTTAGAAGCTAAACTCCTGTCGCAATAGTTTCAGCTAGATTTAAGATCAAAGGCAGAGGTAAAAGTCAGTGTAGCAATGCAAAGCATTAATCTCCTATGTCAGTTGTGTTCACTGTTGCTTTTTAAAAAACATTTCAATAGCTTGACATGTTATTCATTTATATGCAATCAGAAGAATTTACTTTGCTTCATGCCACACATTGACCAAATGCATCATTGCAAGACTCTCTCGCTTGCTTGCTCTCTCTTTTTTCTTTTTTCCTTTTGTTTTTTTTTTGGTGGGTACGCGGCCCTCTCACAGCTGTGGCCTCTCCCACTGCGGAGCACAGGCTCCAGACGCGCAGGCTCAGCGGCCATGGCTCACGGGCCCAGCCGCTCCGCGGCATGTGGGATCCTCCCGGACCGGGGCATGAACCCATGTCCCCTGCACCGGCCGGCGGACTCTCAACCACTGCGCCACCAGGGAAGCCTTCTTTTTTCTTTTTTTAACAAAGGTCATCTCTGTACTAAAAATAATCCCAACAAAATAAATGCTACACACCACACCCCTCACTCTTCTTTCTCCTTTTGATACCATCTTCTCTGTGATGTAACTGAGTGATTTTGCAGCAGAAAGCTCCAAAAATTAAACCTGAGCTTTCCAAATAGCTTCCTAATAACCATTGCCCAAATCAATGGGGCTCCATGAATATTTTGACACAGTTTAAATGGGTTTGTATCCTCACCACTGAGATCTGGTGATTTAGCCTGTCAGGCTGCAAATGTGGAAATATCACCTCTCACTGAGCAAAGTCCAATATCTCATTAGAAATGAAAATAGAAGAGAAGGGAAGCACAAATGCTGTCAGTGGCGGTGAGGAAAGAAATTAAACCTCCGGAGGCCTGTATATCTTATACAAAAGATTATGCACTGCCAGGCTATATAAATCATGCCAGGGCTCTGGGGCTGCAATGGACTAGAAAATAAAAAACCATAAAAGTGTCATATTGAAATACAGTCACTGAGAATTCTTTTATGATGAGTCTAAATTCGCCTGACATTCTCGCAAATTCAGGGGCCTGCTTGGGTTGTTTATACCCGGCCTTTCTCTGTCAGTCACGAAGTCCCAGTTTCCACAGCAAATTATTCTAAACAGGGCTTATTATCAAGGCATAAAAAAGTTAAAACACAGATGGCTGGAGAGTTCCTGTTTAATTTAAATGCCCTGTGGCCCACATCAATGTGAGTCTGTCTTGTCCTAGATTTACTATCAATAAGTTGGCTGCACTTATTAGATGGCAGAGCCCTAAGATGTTGGTGGGGAGTATTTCAAATAGAATTAACATGAAGAGATGCAGAGCACTATCCTATCATCTGTGAAATATGGAGAAGGGCAAGCCGTACATAAGCAGGTATGACCACTCGTACCTGGGTCTACATGGGCCAGCGTGCCCGCACCAGGAAGGAGAGGAATTATACCTGTTACAGGAATTCATTACAGACACAGGCTTAATTACCAGTGGCATTTTCTGCCTGGAATCAAAAAAAAAATTTTTTTTTAATACATGATCAGCATAATACAAGCAAAAGGTGATCCAGATTTTCAGAGCAAATAAAGGAGATTTGGGCCCAGAGAACCAAGCAGGGTATATAGGAGCATTTTATGTGGGATGACACACTGCCAGTTTGTGAAAATAAGGGCCGGCTCTCTCCTCAGCTGATTTATCTTTCAGCCTTGCTCGTACAGCAGCCAGTCGGCTGGCAGAATTTGCTGGGTTTTTATTGTGCTCAGGACACTGCAGTGAGTGACTGGGAAGGTTGAAAAGACGCAGAGAAACCTCTGTCCTGGAGGCGAACTGTTGGGGCCCAGGGGATCTGAGCTGGGCACGGAGATGAATAGGATGCTGGATGCATCAAAAGTTGCCATTTAATGTCGCTTTTATGTGAAAGGTGCAGGGTGGCAATAGGAGAACTGGGGCTTCTTAACCACCAGCAGAGCTGGGCTGGAGCCAGACAGACCTGGGTTCAAGTCTTAACTTTGCTTTTTCCTGTGTGTGTGTCTGTGAGTCCGTGGCTAATTCTTTGCTTTCTCTGATCTTTGATTTCTCTAAGTAAAGAGAGAACAACCTGATCTGCCTCAGAGGGCACTTGTGAGAATAAAATGAAAGAATAAACGCAGGGACCTAGCATGGTGCCAGGCACAATGGAAGCCCTCGGTAACCGTGTGGTGAGCTAGTCTAACACCTGTCAGTTACGGAGAACTTTTCTGATCCACCGAAGTAACCAGTTAAACATCCACTTGGAACGAGGAACTGCAGTTCCTTGTGCCCTTAGAGCAGCATTGCTCAGTCTCCTTGTGGATGCCTGGGAATGGTCCACCCACCTGTACCCCAAGTCAAACGCCTCCCCCTTCCCTCCCCACACAAGGGTTATCTCCTTTCGGAAGTGACAGCACATCTTAACATGTGAGAGAGACCACATCGAGAGGAGGCGGCTAACTCCAGTCATGTGGCCCGACCTGCTGCCATCACTAACAGTTACTAGGTGCCTCTGCTGGACCTCCTCTGGGACCCTCCTAGGATGTCCGGTCCCATCTGGAGAAATCCCAGTTTAAATAGGCCTCATGGCGATGAACCTCTGAAGATGTCGAGGGTTCCACCCTGCTACTGGTACTGGTGTCCAGCGTGAACTATTTCCTCTTCATCCCTGACACTGGGCACTACAAAATGTCCAGCAGAACATGGCACACCAGTTCCCCATGCCGGGTGGGGGGGACTCCAGCTCCATGGAGGATAGCAAAGACCATCAAACTGCCCGCCACCAGGAAGAGAGGGCCAAACACTTCTGCCCACTGCATCTTGGTACCAGTTGCCAAGGAAAACACAACACAGCGCGGCAGTGAATGGAACAACGCTTTTACTCACGTAGAGAGAGAGAAGGGAAGGAGCAAAATTAGCTCCAGTGGTGTGCATGGGTCCCTCACGGCTATCAAGGCCAGCAGGTGCCCCCGGCAGTGATACAGGGCAGCTGGCCTACGCGCATCCACTCCTGCTGCAGCTGAAGGACTCTGACCCCATTTCCGTGGAGTCTGAAATACTAAAGCTGATGGCCATTCAGTACAGGCTTAAGCAGAACAAAGAAACTCATTGAGCCTAAAACAGGAAAAGATAATTCCACACAAGGTGACAAGCCCAGCACGGGCTGTGCGGCTCTCTCTCTCAGTAAGGCAGTGTCCTGGGCCCAAGGTCCATTCTCACGTGGCTGAGCAAGGGTCGAAGACTGTGGACACAAGTCTGCCTTTCGCCACA